AATCAATTGAGGGAAGGAAAGTCACAGATACAAGGCGTTTTCTAGCATTCAGGGTTAGACAGGATTTGTTTCTGAAAAAGAAACCCAGTTTAACTTTCAGTTTCTTTACCAAGTTTTCCACATGGAGCTTAAAAGAAAGATGTGAGTCGACCAAGATACCCAAATATTTATAGGAATAAACAAACTCAATTGGGACACCATTTGAGGATAAAATCGGAGGAAGAACTGCTGGAACCAACTTCCTATTTGAAAAAAGCATCCCTTTGGTTTTTTCGGCATTTAGGACAAGTTTGAGGCGAAACAAATCAGTCTGGATGATGTTGAATGCAGATTTCAAAAGCTGGAAAGCCTTATCAACAGTTTTAGCTCGACAATAAACAACTGTGTCATCAGCATAGAAATGTATGGATGCATTAGGGATGTTTTTACCTACATTATGTATGTAGATTGTAAAGAGGGTGGGTCCTAAGACTGAGCCTTGTGGTACACCATTGTTGACTGTTAAATAACTGGAGGAAGTACCATTATGTTGAACACATTGCCTCCGGTTTGAGAGATAGAGAACCAACCAATAGTGTGTTCTGAGAAACCGATTTCTGAGAGTTTATGACACAAGATGTTATGATCCACAGTGTCAAAAGCTTTAGACAGGTCTAAGAAAAGTGCAGCACAATAATCCTTAGCATCCAGTGCTTCAACAACGTCATTAAGAACCTTCAGTGAAGCAGTGGTTGTGCTGTGTTGTTTCCTGAAACCAGATTGATGTGGAGGTAAGATGTTAAATGAGTCCAGGTAATTTTTGATTTGAGAGTTTATCAGTTTTTCTAGAAGCTTGGCTAAAATGCAGAGTTTAGAGATTGGTCGATAGTTGTTCAGTGAGGTGGGGTCACCTCCCTTCAGCAAAGGAAGAACAAAGGCTGTTTTCCAAGCGTCTGGGATGGAGTTTTGTTTTATGGAGAGATTGAAGATGTGGGTCACAGGGACTGTGATGATATGAGCAGCCAGCCTTAAGAAATAAGGTGGAAGTTCATCTGGACCAGCAGATTTTTTAGGATCAAGATCTTTTAACAGTTTATTGACCTCACTGACTGAGAATGGAGAAAAAGAGAAGGTGTGATTAACTGAGGATTGACTTGTAGGAGGGATTTGATTTGTAGAAGTTTGGTTATTAAGTGAAGTGGCTGATTTTCCATTAGTAACTGTGTCAAATAAAGAACTAGAAGCAACAAAATGTTTGTTGAGACAGTTCAGGATCTCGTGCTTATTTGACACAGGAACAGAGTTAACGAGAAGTTGTGATGGGAGGTCAGATGATTGGGGGGTGCCTGAGAGAGATTTGATGGTTTTCCAGAATCTGTTAGGGTCATTTAGATTTTTGGAGGTCTGAGATAAGAAATAGTTGCATTTTGCTGCTTTGACAGCAGTTGTGCATTTATTCCTCATCTGTCGAAAACTCAACCAATCAGTGTCTGAGTCAGATTTTCTCGCTGCAGCCCAAAAAAAATCTGACTTAAGTTAGTTAAGTTCTTATTAAGTTTTCGATCAACAAAGTCCTGTTGAGTACTGAAGTGTATATGTTGTAAAATTTTAATAAAAATGTATAAAAACAAAATAGGTTTTGTAATGTGATTTTTAACCACCCCAAATAATTGATTTATGTGGAAAAAAAGGGGGAAAAAAGAATCAAAATCAAGATAATTTTACTCCTGAGTTTATTACATTATCTGTGGTAATGCGTCAAATTCTCATTTTATATTATTCAAGTTGCGTGTTGTGTAATAATTGGACCCTGGAAAGCAAGTGGTTTATGTAAGATTATTAAAAGCCCCATTAATGATATTTATTCATGTAAACATCTGGCTGCAGCTGTATTTCATGAGCCTGCTAACTCCTCTAGAAACCATAATCTTCGCATTTTTAGCCTTCAGCGAGCCACAACTCCCCATGTCTACTTTAATTCCAGTAAACATTTTATTTGCTGTATGCGTGTACAGTAAATAAATCTGAACACCAAATCTGTGCCGCTCCTTTTGTTTGAGCAGTGTCTCCCCCTAGCGGCGGCTGTGGAACTCTGCGCAGCCGCACAACTTTAACTCGTTACCATGGCAACTCTGTAACTTCATCAAGGAGCCACAGTTACTGAGTTACTGTACACTGTACTGTAAAACCAAGTTGTTTCCTCTGTTCCGAGGAGGAAAAACTGTCCACAAGTACTTATCATGCTAGAAGTACCCAGATATAAATATTTATGTTAGCGATAGAAATGCTAATTGTTAGCTAACAGGTTAAACTTTAAGCTAAAGTTTAGTTTAAGCTAGCTGAAGTTTTACTTTATTGCTACCAGAGCCCTATAAATCTCTGTATCTCTGTATAGGGCTCTGATTGCTACTAATAACCGGTGTTAATGCCAACTACTGTGTTAGTATTTTAATGCACTGTAACATAGGTACGTATGAGTGCAGGGTTTGACAACTTATTTAATAGTATTATATATTTTTAGTTTGTTTTAGTTTAAAAGTTGTCTCTGCGTTAATATGCTTTTTTTTGTAAAGAAAACAAAACGCTGTATGACTTTTGATTTCTGTGCTGAGCAGGTCAGCTTCTGTTAGCACCATCGCACCGCCTTCATTCCTCCTCCTCCTCCTCCTCCTCCAGATTTGGGGCTCCGCTCTCTGTGATCACAACCAAGATGGCTGCCTGAGTGGTGATGCTCCGAAGTGCACTTTAAACTCTCCCTCTTCAGCGCTACTCTCTCCAGTATTCTGATCAGACTGTTTACTGGTTAAGCACAAACTGGTAAGTCACAGCACCGGATGTTATTTTTCATCTTCATCTTCTCCTGTACTGGTCTACAACGGCGTCCTGCCAGTTCAGCTAGTCGCTGTAGCTGTATTTCCTGGTTTTCAGTGCTTGAGGAGTGTTGTGTTCACTGAATACTTCTTGCTAGCGGCGGTGAGTGTACCAGAGGAGAAGAGAAGGGTCTGTTCGGTTCTGTTCGGTTCTGTTCGGTTCACAGCTTCGTAAATGCCGTCGTGCACATCGGCGGTGATGCTCGACGCGTAGTGTTAGCTACATATGCTAATGCTGCTTCGTTACAGAGCTAGCTTTGAACAAACAGGCGGCGGGTTGTGGACTGTCAGATTAATATTATTAATTATTATTATTAAGAGCTCTGCTGCTCTTCAACACGGTGCCTTCGTGTGTTTGTGCACGTGCACCCGCGTGCATGTGCTCTGTGTCCGAGTGTGAGCTGCCATCATTTAGTAAACAAGAACAAGATTGAAAAGCTGTAACAGCTCAGAGCTGCAGCTTGAAGGTGTTTTCTGGAGGACTTGTCTCTCACTTTGGTCCAGTCTTCAGCTGTTGGACAGATGTCCTCACGCTGGACTCCAGAGTACTGTTGGACATGTTCTTTGAGGTTTTATGTTTATTCAATTCAGTTTCAAATCATCACACCTCCACCACTGTGCTTGTAATTTGTTTGTGCTGATTTACTCTTTGGTGATCAGGTCAGCAGCTTTAACTTGGTCTCCTCTGTCCAGAGGATGTTGAGTTCTGTGGTTTAGATTTAGGTGCATGTTCTTTAGGAGAAGAGCTTTTTTCTCTGCAGCTCTTTCAGTCAAGCCACAGCTGTTTGTCTGGTTGTGCTAACTGAGGCCTGGATCATTGCTTTACTGGAATACTCACTTCTGGAGAGTGACAGCTGTCCTACATGATTCATGACTAACTCTTCTCCGTAGAATTGATGACCCCAAATTGTTTGGGATGAACTTTAACCCTTGTCAGGTTGATGATCATCAAAATCGCTAAGTTCTTAGCTGATGTCTTTCCACCTTGGCATTACACACACCTGTGTCTCGAGAGCAACAAATGTGCAGCCGTTCTGCTTTTATGCAGACGATGAGTCGTTTAAACAGCAGCACCTGGCCGATCCTTTCCTCCTCCTTACATCCATTGAGGCAACCTACAGGTGGAGTTAGTAAATGAATCAGTTTTGTAGATGTTCTTGCAGTTTTCCTTGTATTTAAAACAAAGTTTGACTGACATTTATCATCGTTAACATCTCTTCTCTTTCAGATACCTTTTTGAGGTTTTGTTTTTCAGGACGACAATGTTTTCAAGGTGAGACAAAAAAAAACTTAAGACAGAACTTGTTTTCGGGACTCTGGTTGCGTATTACAATGTACAATAACAATGTACTTAATGTACTTAATGTACAGTAATTATTGGTTTAAAACATAAAAATATGCAGAATACATATTTTAAAGTTCTGTGCTAATCCAAAACAACATATTTGATCTTGTTTCTTATATTTCATGAAACTTTTTTTACTGGTTTACATATTTGTTCTTTTATTTCCTCCGCAGAGTGCCCAGATGGGGTTCATCCCTGAAGTTCAGACCACCAGCACTGGTCCTTCCACATCCAGAAAACAACAGGAACATGATAAAAATATACTTATAGAAACACCAGCTCTTGAGTTAATAATAACTGGAAATAAAACTGACCAACTCAGAAGATAGCTGGGCTTCCATTTGGACCTGGTCTTTGTACCATTTCCTTTTTCACCATTTGAAGTTTATTTAGTATTTTTTGCATTTTAGAGCCAAAAGTAAACAGCTGGTAATGGATGATGCTGGTCATGGTGACTTAGTGTAAATGGCTATCCATCCGCTCAGCTCACTGACGGTATTTAATGTCCAATCTTCCTCCTCTGCTTCATTCTCCTGCCACTCCTACTCATCATCCCTGCTCTTCTGGACTTTGAGCTGCTGCCACCTGCTAACCTGCCTCGCCTCCCTCCTCCAACATCATGATGGGCGCAGGCTCGGGTTTGTGGAGGCTTATGCGAGGTGTCCGCCAGCTGGAGCTTCATCGCCTGATTCTGGCACTCATCATCTTCTGCCTGCTCTCCATGGCCTTTCTAGCATACTATGTCTCCAACAGTCCCAAAATCAAGGAGCCCCCACCTTTACCTTTCAGTGACTGTGGTGGAGGTGGGGGGATGCCACAGGGTGTAAGCACTGGTGAAGCTGGTAAGGGGACAGTTGGCCAGAGGTCGCCCCTTTTACTTCCCATGCGTCAGGAACGCCTACAACAAGTAAAGACAGTGGACAGTTCCAGGACCGATCCTGTGGTCCTGGTGTTTGTGGAGAGCATCTATTCCCAGTTGGGTCAAGAAATTATCACGATATTAGAATCAAGTCGCTTCCGCTACCGCACAGAAATCGCTCCTGGTAAGGGTGACATGCCCACTTTAACAGAACTTGACCACGGACGGTACACATTGATAATCTATGAAAATGTGCTGAAGTACGTCAATCTTGACGTGTGGAACCGTGATCTGCTGGACAAGTACTGTCTTGAGTATGGAGTGGGTATCATTGGTTTCTTCAAGGCTACTGAAAACTCCCCTCTCAGTGCCCAGCTGAAAGGTTTCCCCCTCTTTCTTTATTCCCACCTGGAACTCAGGGATTACCGTATAAACCCCACTGCTCCTCTACTTTACATCACCAAGCCCAACCAGGTGGAGCAGGGCTCCCTGCCTGGGGATGATTGGACCATTTTCCAGTCTAACCACTCGACGTATGAACCGGTGCTTCTGGCCTCCACCAAATCCTCCGAGGCTCTGGCTCAGTTTGGACCCAGCCCTCTGCAGACCCTCCATGCTACGGTGGTCCAGGACTTGGGGCTCCATGATGGCATTCAAAAAGTTATATTTGGAAATAACCTTAACTACTGGCTTCACAAGCTGGTGTTTGTAGATACCATCGCCTACCTTACAGGAAAGAGGCTGTGCTTATCATTGGACCGTTACGTCTTGGTGGACGTGGATGATATTTTTGTGGGCAAAGAGGGAACTCGTATGAAGGTGTCTGATGTGGAGGTAAGAAAGTCCTTCCAGCTACGATTGCACAAATGATCAGATCTAAACTTAAAATGCGATCACCTTATGCTGTATAATATTCAGAGGGCAGGTGTTCATGGTTTACATCTGCTTAGCTTATGTTTGTACAGTGCTGAGTTTAAACACCATGGTTGTGTAATAATTAGTCAGTGATAACAGGTATGCTTAAACTAGATTTATTTTAGTTTCATTCTTATGTTTTAAAGTGATTCAAATCGAACCTGAAATGTACAAAACTCAAATCAGATTCCACCATCTTGTTATTTATTAAATAAAAATAAAGCCACATTGAAAGAGCTGTGTGAAAAACGAAGTCCACCAGTGATCCAGCAGCTTGTAGGATCATCTTTAACAGCGTTAACTCTCAGTAGTTGCACTGCTTATGACTCACATGGTTGTGGAGGAATTTTGTCCCACTCCATTTCTTCAGTTCGTTGACGTTTGTAGGTTTTTATTTAGTTTCCCAGTTTGGTCCAAGCTTCAGCTGACAACCTTACATATGATTCTGAAATCCTTCAGTCTACGGAAGAGTTCATGGTTGACTCAATGACTGCAAGGGCATGAACCATAACATCTTGTGTCATAAGCTCAGCAATTGGTTTGTCAGATCACACCATTGGTTGGTTCTCTAACTATCTTTCAGATCGGAGGCCATGTGTTCAACATAATGGTACTTCCTCCAGTTATTTAACACTGGGGGTGAGCAATATGGCTCAAATATAATATATTTCAGAGCATTCTGATGATGACAATAAATTTCATGATATAACAAAAAAAACAATCAGTTATTCATTTGACACAATTAACATGTTGCTTTGCAGTATTATATAAAAACTAAAAAAAACAACAAGGATTAATTTGACTGCAATTACTTTATTTAGTAAAGTATTCAGTCTAAAAGTATAAAAATAAAAAAGATCTTTCTGTTATTTAGATTGAACAAGTCTGCACAAAATATAGATCAATAAATCCTCCACAAAAACTAAAGTGCAGGTGCAGTTCCCAAATAAACTAAATGAAATAAAAGCTTAAGATCTGTTGAGTATAAATGTACAAATATATGCTGCCTTTAAATGAGCTATAACTTCCAGAACTTGTCACAAGGTGATCAGCTGACCCTGAAGCTTGTGGTGTTTCAGCTTCCTCTGTTCCTGCAGGAATGATTCATGCTCTGTCTTTCATCACCTGCTTCTTTTCTTGGTCCATGGACTGTGGAACTCAAGACACACAGCTGAGCTGCACGTTTTGTTTTTAGCTTTTTAGCTAGCTAGTATTGCATGCAGCTAATTAGCATTACACCAGTACTGACAAGTGGGGTGTGGGGGGAGCAGTTTGGTTCGGTAGTTCGGTGCGCTTGGTTCTGTTAATGGGGCAGGGCGCCCCACTTGTATAATGGTTGGTAGGGGAAGCACTGACGTATTTACGTCATGAAATTAGCATATCATGATATAATTTATTTTCCCGGGCAAGCTTTCTTTTTACCAGTATTATCGTGAAAGATAGGATATGGCCCAGCCCTATTTAACAGTCAACAATGGTGTACCACAAGGCTCAGTCTTAGGACCCACCCTCTTTACAATCTACATAGGTAATGTAGGTCAGAGCATCCCTGATGCATCCATACATTTCTATGCTGACGACAGTTGTTTATTGTGGAGCTAAAACAGCTGTTAAGGCTTTCCAGCTTTTGCAATTTGCTTTCGACATCATCCAGACAGATTTGTTTGACCTCAAACTTGTCTTAAATGCCGATAAAACCAAAGGGATGCTTTTGTCAAACAGGAAGTCGGTCCCAGCAGTTCTTCCTCTGATTTTATCCTCAAATGGTGTCCCTATTGAGTTTGTCGATTCCTATAAATATTTGTGTATCTTGGTCGACTCGCATCTCTCGTAAGCTCCATGTGGAAAACTTGGTAAAGAAACTGAAAGTTAAACTGGGTTTCTTTTTCAGAAACAGATCCTGTCTAACCCTGAATGCAAGGAAACCCCTTGTAACTGTGACTTTCCTTCCCTCCATTGATTACGGTGACATTATTTACATGAACGCTCCTACAAGAACCCTGCAGATGTTGGATGCTGTCTATCATGGTGCACTAAGATTCATAACTGGCTGTGATTATCGTACCCACCACTGCACCCAGTATTCACTGGTTAACTGGTCATCATTAACTTCACGCAGACTCTCTCACTGGTACATTTTCATCTTTAAATCACTTCTTGGTCTGCTGCCTTCATACATCTCCTACATGTCTCTGCATGAGTGCAGCTACAGCGTGCGCTCTCAGGACATTATTACCTGCAGTGTTCCCTCATTGAGAACTGAACTAGACAAAAGGATCTTCTCCTACTCTGCTCCTGTTTCCTGGAATATCTTACAAAAAGATTTGAAGCTCTTGATCAGGATCTGCCAGAATCAGTCTGGCCTTGTTCACTGACCTCTGTGTTCACATGGTATTCTTGCTGGTATGCTTTTTTTAATCTCAAAATATCCTGGTGCTGCTGTGCATGGTAAACATTTTCATTTTGGGCTCATCGGCAATGGAACAGGTATTCTTTGCAACCTTTCAAAATAAACCTACTTATTAAATCTTTCGGAGAGGAGGGGTGGGGGTCTGTCCAAACACTGAACACTTCAAACTGTCAAAACTCCTGTTTTTACAAACACTGACTGGTTAGTAAGTAGTATTTGATCAGCTACACCTGGCTGCTGCTGTTCCTCTTAAATCCTGTGGAAGCACCATGGTGGAGTTAGTTTTCTACTCCTCTGTTCCATTTTGGCTTCATTGTTGTGTAGTAAACATGGACCTGCTGTAATCTGGGGTTTTTTGCACTTGAAGTTGAATTTTACATAATTTTATAATCTGAGAAATCGTTTATTATGTCCTGATGTGTAAAACCCTAGAATGAAGGACTTTTATTTTCCCACGACTACATCGTTGTGTTGCCAGATTGTGTTGTTTAGGTTTACTTTCACAAAATACAGTATTACACAATTTATATACTTCAACGTGTTATTTCACCAAGGTTTAATTTTAGCATCACGGATCTGAAAGAACTTCATCTCGTCACAGTGTTTTAGTTGTTTTAATTGTTTGTTTTTTCCTTTACAGGCTTTGCTCAGTATTCAAAATAAGATGAGGGCACTGGTGTCTAATTTCACCTTCAACTTGGGATTTTCAGGGAAGTTTTATCACACAGGTATGGATCGTCTTCAGGATTGTTTTCTGCAACAACCGTTAAAACCGTGCACATTTGAGTGGAAGTAATGTTCGGTGTGAATGGTATCCTGTAACGACTTATCTGACCTGCGCTTATCACTTCAGGTACTGATGAGGAGGATCGTGGAGACGACATGCTGCTGCAGCACAGGAAGGAGTTCTGGTGGTTCCCTCACATGTGGAGCCACATGCAGCCTCATCTATTTCACAATGTCAGCGTTTTGGCTGAGCAGATGAAGCTCAACAAGATATTTGCTCAGGTTGGAAGAGATTAAATGTATTACCTTTGTTTTGTATTCCTACACTGTGAGGCTCGCCTTTATTCTTTCATGTTCTGATAGGTTTCTTTTTGCCTGACCTGCATCATGTCTGAACACTGTTTCCAGGAGCATGGTATCCCAATAGATATGGGCTATGCGATCGCGCCGCACCACTCGGGGGTCTATCCTGTTCACAGCCAGCTGTACGAAGCGTGGAAGTCTGTGTGGGGGATCAAGGTGACCAGCACTGAAGAATACCCCCACCTGAGGCCTGCACGTTACCGCCGCGGCTTCATTCATAATGGGATCCAGGTCAGTAAACACTACTTTATTTCTTTGATCATCCATCCATCCATTATCTTTTACCCGCTTCTTCCATTTTGGGTCACGGGGGTCGCTGGTGCCCATGTCCAGCAATCACTGTGCGAGGGGCGGGGTACATCCTGGACGGGTCACAAGTCCATCACAGGGCCACATAGAGACAAACGAGACAAACAACCATTCACTCTCTCACTCACACCTAGGGACAAGGTGTCCCTAGGTCATGAAGGACCCCACCCACCCAGCACACACACTTTTTGCCCCACTCCCCTCAGGAAGGAGGTTGAGGAGCATTAAGTGCAGAACCACTAGACTGAGGAACAGCTTCTACCCTGAGGCTGTTAGACTCATGAATCTCTAACTAGAATAATCACTGTGAAAAACCATATCATGTTGCTGCTGATCTGTTTCATGTTGCTGCTGATCTGTTTCAATGTTGATGTGTTCATGCGTGCACATCTGCTCACAGACTCATGTTCATGTTTGTGCTGATGTTCAATGTTTTTATGTTATGAGTGCTTAGTGTATATTTAGTTGATGTTTTTCTTAGTTCATATCTTAGATGTTATTACTGTTTTTCTTAGACATTTTATTGTTGGATGTAACTGGGACCCTGTGTACATAATTTCGCTCCACCACATGTACCACATGAGGTGCGAATGACAATAAAGAAACTCTGACTCTGACTCTGACAAGTTAGAGTTACCAATCAGACTAACATACATGTTTTTGGTCTGTGGGAGGAAACCGGAGTACCCGGAGAAAACCCACGCATGCACGGAGAGAACATGCAAACTCCACCCAGAAAGGCCCCTGGACCGGGGTTTGAACCAAGGACCTGCTCGCTGAGAGGCAGCAGCTCTACCAGTTGCGCCACCGTGCTGCTTTCTTTGATCATATTAAGAATAATTCTGTCCGTAAACCTTTCTGTTCTTGATCACGTGTTTGTTGGCAAAATGAGTCAGAATGAGGAATTTTTCAATTCTGAGTTATTTTTAAATTTTCCATCTCAAACGTTCAAATCGTTTAGTAAAGTTTGTTGAAATTTGGTGATTTCTCACCTGGCAACAAACTTGATGAGTATGAGACAGTGCTGTTTGAAAACTTGATTTTAATTGGTTTGGAGTGACATCATCTGTAATTCCAGCCCTTTATTTTAAAAAAGGGGATCCCCAAGCTATACAGTGAATCCAAATATTATATGAAGGGATTTCCAGGCGCTACAGCAGCCAGCCGGCAGAGGGATATGGTCAATTCCATAGGAAATTATAAGGATTATAAGCCAAAGGAATATTTCTGAAGGTACTCCTGTTAGAAAACTTCAGTTTAAAGGTACTGTAGATTAGTGAATTTATAATCTCTTATTAGTTACTGGGATCACTAGATGGTGTTTTTATGGACTCATTTTTATGCAAATTTCATTTAGGACCAAAACAAATGTTTTCACTTATTTTGCACTGCAGCTGGTGCCCGTTGTGACTCATCACCAGAACGGCTCACATTTTGATCAGGAGGTTTTTACAACACATCTCTGATAGCAATCACACAGAGATGTGTGTTTTTGCTAGTTTGCTTTTTAAGGACGAGTATTTTCCATTTATTCTTTTCTTGATTTTTTTCCCTTGTTGAGACATTTGACTTGTCAGTAAATGTGAACTCTAAGCTGAACGAGCTGTTGTACACCCTGATCATCTTAGGTCCAACCATCACCATCCATTTCCAGCAACCAAGCCTCAAAAAAATAAAATCACGCAAGTCTATTATAATTTAGTTAGATGCTTTAGTAACTAACAAAAATAAATAAATATCCTAAATATCACCAATTTGTTGATTAAAACTACTACTTAAACATATTAAAATGTAACAATATGTACTCTGGTATCATTTTTAGATAACGCAAGACGTATATCTTCAGCAAAACATAAATAAATCACTAAATAAAGCATACTTGCCCTGTTTATTCATATTTTACAGTCCAATTTATTAGATAATTAACAAAAAACATCCTTGTTACAATAAATGAGCCTACAGTTTTCATAGCATCCTGACCAAGTGACGTTGCTCTGATTAAATGAGCGCCATGCTGCGGGCCTCGGTCAGAACTCTGGCTGCGGCCTTGTGGTAAAAACTGTTTGCACAACTAAACAAACCAACTTGTGTCTTTGTAACGTTATCAGTAAATGTTGTGGCAGTTCCTCTTGTGGAGCTCCTGTCCGTCAGCATGGTACGTCAGATGACATGGAGTACATTGACTGGTGCGTGGCGCGACCTTTCCTCTGCTCTCCTCCACACACTGAGGCTGCGTGCTCATCTGGAACATGGATTTGCTGAGATGAGCTTTTACACGTGTTGATTTTTAATCTCCAACAGAGCAGAGCAGCAAAACCAGCTTCTGTCTTACCACGTCTAATAAAAATAATAATAATTATTACACCACTCGAATAAGTCATATGAGAAATTATATATAATTGTGCAGAGGTTTGGACAGCTCCACAACTTTTTATTTTTTAACTTATAAGATGTTATTTGACTTGTAAAGCATATAATTTGTGGTGAAAATAATTTCAGCTGATAATTGAAAACATTAAATCTCTAATTTAATCTTAGTTAACCCCTGACCTAAGTGAAGTTATTGGTTCAGTTGTACAGTTTTAAACCTGCGAGTAAGAACAGACGTTCACAATGCTGCTTTTGTTATGTACTGTAGTTCCAAAAGCCCGTTGTGTGATCATACAGATGACATAATCACTTTCACCCTGACCCTCACATAGCTGCCCATTACATGTCTTTCTTGGGGGGGGGGGGTTCTCTTGACTCAATGAGACTACTTGTATAAATAAAGGTACAAATAAAAATCTGACCAATGAAATTACTGAACAGGTCACAGTGGATCAAATGAAACTTGGTTACATTGGTCCACTGTGGAGGAGGGGGGACTTTGTTTCCTCCCCTCCCTGTTGTGGCCCATGGAGGGGGGGAAGTATTTGCAGCCACTTGAAATAAGTGTGAATCGTGCATAAGCTGTCCTCCGTCCTGCGCAGTGCACAGGAGGAAAGAGACAATAATGATCAAGGACTTCCTGGTAGGCTACTGTATATACATGTTTTTTTAACCAGCCGTGTTACAGGGACTGTTCAGAAAAAAAAACAAAAAAACATTTACTCTACATATTTGTGTATGTTACCAGTAATTAAAAGTTTAAAAAAATCTTTCTGTGTAAATATCTCGTTACAACGTGGACACTGTGGCTTATAGACAAGTGTAGCCTATATATGTACAATATTTATTTATTTATTTATTTATTATTTAGTGGGCATGGCTTATATTCAGGTGCGCTCAGTAGAGCATTAAAAGTTTACTCGAGTAATCTACACATCGATTGCTAGGACATCTATCGAGGTTAAAAATGTAACGTTGAGTATCTGTAGTGACGTCATATTATGTGACCACCGTATGACCGTAGGGGGCGGTGTTGCACTGTTGCAGGTCACAGAGTATGGTGTAACACAGGGTCCAATCCACCGAACCAGAACCAGTTTCGGTTTAAGTTTCGTTTTTGACGTGCTGCGTTTCTTCACGTTTGCAGTTTAATAATAATAACTAATAGTTTAGTTTTTCCTGTGACTTGTTTGCAGTAGGAGCATAATATACGCTCCCAATGTTTTGTTGGTCTTTTTTTTTGTAAATAATTACCTTTTTTTGCGGTTTTATTTATTTATTTATTTTTGTATCTTGAGATCTATGACGTCATCAAATACTCGAGTTCTACTCGGGTTTTATTATGTTAATGTCGAGTTTAAAAATTATATACTCGTTCAACCCCTAGCGCTCAGTAGTCCATAAATTATGGTTAGCTCTCCTTTTGTGTTGCAGGTGTTGCCCAGGCAGACTTGTGGTCTGTTCACCCACACCATCTTCTACAACGAGTACCCCGGAGGCTCAAAGGAGCTGGACAAGAGCATCCGAGGAGGAGAACTCTTCCTCACTGTTCTCCTAAACCCTGTAAGAAACGTTCCTACACTCCATGTGTTCAGACAGGGTTTGGTCATAGAGGTGCTAAGATACGAACTAACAGAAACCACCTGGGCTCTGTGTAGCCCGTACGTCTGTAAACTTTCTTTTGTCCCTCCTGTAACTTATGATCTGCTCAAGATATTTAAAAAAAAACTCACGTACTTATGAATCATCACTAGACGGAGTATTGCGTAACTTTTTCATCACCCCAGCTCCAAGGTCAAGGTCACAAATCAAGGTCAAAGGCCATACAAGGTCTTTGCTTGTCCCACTCATAACTTCTGATGTGCTTAAGATAATCTTCTAAAACTTGATACACATTTGTACCATCACTAGCTACTGTCTCTTAACCTTTTCATCACCTCAGGTGTAAGGTCAAGGTCATCAGTCAAGGTCAAATGTTGTACAACGTCTTTGATAGTTTGGTCTACGTATTCTATAGATTGCTATATTGTTGTATTATAGTTTGTTGATGGGCACTTAATGTGCAGTATTCTTGTTGATTCTGAAATTCCTGCTGTTTAAGTCTTATTTTCACCTTTTTACCTCCACCAAGGAGGTTATGTTTGTCTGGTCTGTCTACAAGATTACTCAAAAAGTTATGAATGGATTTTCATGACATTTTCAGGAAATGTTGATTGTCACAAAGAACAAATGGTTAAATTTTGGTGGTGATCTGGATTACCTTCTGGATCCAGGAATTTCTTAAAGGACTCTTGTCTGTCTGTGCACGTTAGTGCCTGAGTGACCCTATGGTCTTGGCGGAGGTGTGCGCTCTGCGAGGGCTTCTCGTTGTATCCCATGACATTTCTGCATACTGTTTGTGTAAATGAGCGCTCTCTTTCCTGATTTTAACCCACCTCTCATTCACCGGGCCTGTTCTCTACAGATAAGCATCTTTATGACTCATCTGTCTAACTACGGCAACGATCGCCTCGGTCTGTACACCTTTGAGTCTTTGGTGAAGTTCATCCAGTGTTGGACCAACCTCAGGCTGCAGACGCTGCCCCCTGTCCAGCTCGCTGAAAAATACTTCCAGATTTTCTCAGAGGAAAGAACCCCACTCTGGCAGGTAGGCACAAATAAAATAAAAAATTAATGTTCATATACCAGAATACGTGACCCGTGCTGACAAAGGCAGTCAGGATGAGCCCAGACTGCAATGCAAAAACACGTGAAAGTACTGATTGTTTTTGTTAAGATTTGCGTAAAATTAAGTCCATAAAGACGCTATCCGGTGATCCATTTAACTAAAACAGCAGATAATATTCCTAATCTACCTTTAGTTCAAAGTTTTCTAAAAGGTATGTGTCCTGATGCTGCTCTATAATCCATGCAGATGAACCTAACAAGGTTGAGTCAAGTCCTCTGGACGGATTCTTTTTGTTGAAACGATTCGTCTTTAATCCAAAAGACTTCTTCAGTCTGAGGAGCTGCAACAGACTCAGTGTTTCAAGCAGCACCTTCTCACAGTGGATCAACCAGTTTGCTGCTGACATCCAGAACTAGTTGTTCACATGCATGTATAAAAATGCTTTTGAATAAAAGATGAAACATTTCAACAAAGAAGAATCCGTCCAGATGGCCTGACTCACCCTCGTTAGACTAAAAGATATGGCTACATTAATGACCCTTTTAATTTGAATCCTTGACATTTACGCTGCCGCCATTCCCTCTTTTTAAATTTAAAAAGGCCTGGAATTTACAAATCTGGCTGGATTTCCAGATGACATCACACCAGACCAATAAAAAGTCCATTTTCAAACCGGCGCTCTCGTAAACACGACTGGCTTGTTGCCAGGCCAGGTGCTGAATTGCCAAATTTCAACTAATTACCTAATATTTTGAAACTTTACAGATGGAGAATATGAAAATAACAAAACTTAATGTTGAAAATTTGTCATTTTGACTAATTTTACTAGCCACACATGCTTTATTCATGTCACACTAAACTAGAATATTTTTGCAGAACCCTTGTCACGACAAGAGACATAAAGACATTTGGTCCAAAGAAAAGACCTGTGACAGACTCCCCAAATTCCTCATCATCGGACCACAGAAAACAGGTACTACCATCCTGTCTCCAGCTCTTTTTCTGTTAACTTTTTATCATCCCTGTATGTTTTCATTATCATAAATGTCTCATCCTTACTCTAAAGGCACCACAGCACTTCATTCATTCCTGAGCCTCCACCCAGCAATTACCAGCTCCTTCCCCAGCCCCACCACCTTTGAAGAGATCCAGTTCTTTAATGGAGCGAACTACGAAAATGGGATTGACTGGTAAAAATGACCACACGCACACAGTACACATCCTTCAGTTTCTCTTTATATTATATCAGCAGGTGATTGTGGTTGCTTTAAGGAACATTTCAGAACCAACAATCTGGATCAGAACCACGCCAACCCTGTAAATGTAAAACGAGTTGGAGCTGCGACCGCGGCCCTCAGCGATGAGTCGGCTGAGAGTGTTGTGTTCAGGTCTGGGCTTGTCCAGCATATTTTTGGGAGCAGTCGGTTGCTTCTGTTGGCATGCCTCGATCCTCACATGCAACTAGTGGCCTGCAAAAGTATTCACCCCTTTGGTGTTCTCTCTACATTTGACTGTTTTACAACCTGGAGCTTAAGTAGATTTCCAATTAGATTTTAGTTAATGGACCTATGCAAAATATTGTAAATTAAAATAAATAAATAAATAAATAAGTAAATAATAAATAAATAAATTTTCAGGTACGTCTTCTTTCTCTTGGTCCATCAATATTCTAGAATTTCACCAGTCAAGGTGTCTGCATGTTGGAGTAGCCTTGTTGCATTGATTCTAGGATATTGTTTTGGAAACTTTTATTCCTCTTTTTCTGGATGTAAATCACCTTTTTTGGATGATTGTTTCCTCTGGTATTGGACGCTGTGCAGCTGGAAGGATTTTTTCTGAAACTTTTTATTTTTGCACATTTATTATGAAGCGTAACCATAACAACTAGGTGGTTTTATACAACCAGGAGCAGCTGATTAACATCTCAAAAGCTCAAATAATACTTCCAACTACAGCCCCACATCCCAAATGAGTTGAAAAGAGGCGCCACGGATGCATTCCCATCTACCAGGCAGCAGTGCTCGAGTACCTGATCGCCAAGATCTTGGAGCTGGCGGGAAACGTGGCTCCTGACAACAAGAAGACCAGGATCATTCCCCGACACCTGCAGCTGACAGTCCGCAATGATGAGGAGCTCAACAAGCTGCTGGGAAGAGTGACCATTGCTCAGGGAGGAGTTCTGCCCAGCATGCATGTGGTCTTGTTGCCCAAGAAGGCCGAGAAACCCGTCAAGTCCAAATAGAAGGATCAACATCTGCAACCGTTTTTTGTTTTTTTTCAGATCCCAGTGTCTGTTGATGTAAAACAGCCCCACAGCATGATGCTGCCTTCACCATGCTTCACTGAGGGGATGTGTTCTCTGCTTGATCAGACATGATGATCAGTCTTCAGTAACTCTTTGGCAAACTCCAGATGTTGTGCTTTAACTTCTTGTCAGGCAATGTCTTTGTACTGTCCCCTCCTCCATGAATGTCCTTTTGTTTTGTCAGGTACATGGAGTTCTTCCCGTTTCCCTCCAACATCAGCACAGACTACATGTTTGAGAAGAGTGCCAGCTACTTTGACTCAGAAGTGGCCCCTAAACAAGCCGCAGCCCTGCTGCCCAAAGCTAAAATCCTGGCTGTCCTCATCAACCCATCCGACAGAGCTTATTCCTGGTATCAGGTAAGTCATCTCATCTGCTTTGCTTTCAACACTGCACATATTTTGATCTGAGTTAGGTTTTTAATGTTTCTCTTCCATGTGTGTGTTGATGAACACAGCACCAACGGGCCCACCAGGACCCAGCAGCACTCAACAACACTTTCCATGCAGTAATGACGGCAGGCCCCTCAGCTCCCAGAGTCTTACTGGGTCTTCAGAGACGCTGCCTTTATCCTGGAGTCTATGCTGCTCACCTGGAGCGCTGGCTGCAGTACTACCAGCCCAGCCAGGTAACACTAACTAGAGCTGCTAAGGTGAATCAGTGTGCAGTCTGACTCTTGTTTCTCAGTCCACAGCAGGTTTCCATCCACATCCTTTTACTTCACATCAAAAAGAGGCTGTTCTCTGTGTTCAAAGCTTTTCACTGTCTCCACACTCTGAAGTTTAAAAACTGATGGAAACGTGTCCACTTGTTCAGGCTTGTACTTCCAAACGTGTCAATCTTTTATCTGTGTTGCTCACTACAGATTTCTTTTTCTTGCTGTTTTTTTTTGTGTGTCTCTTTTCTTACCAGTGTTTTCAGACACGGTGGGAAAACAAAATCTTTAGGATCTCCATGAAATCAGTTAACACTCGCATTTTGTTTATTGAATCTGTCTACAGCTGAATCCTGAGACTATATCGTCATTTAAGAGCTTTGTAGTGCTTAATCCAGTTAAACTCTTTTGTATTTTTGTTTTTTTTTCTCTATACTAGGGGTTTCCTTATACTATTTTTTTTACAGACCAAGTTGAAGTACTTCAGTTTGAGTACTTGTCATAGTGTGAATCAATACTTAGTAGTTAATAAGTTATTACATAAACGTTGCACAATGGAGGGAGAGAGGGAGGGAGCGAGAGAGAGAGATATATATATCTATATATATATATATATGTATATATAGATATATATAGATATAGATAGATGTATAGATATATATATACAGATATATAGATAGATATAGATATATATATTATAGATATATATATATAGAGAGAAAGATATATATATATATATATAGAGAGAGAGAGAGAGAGAGAGAGAGAGAGAGAGAGAGA